ACTCTACGCGTCGTCAAATGGAAAGCCAAATTCTACGAAATAGCCATAACGATACCATGGCATTTACAACGCGCTACCAATTTTAGGGCTAACAGATGGAATAAGTGATTAGTTCTCTAAGAGCTGGCCTCTTAAATAACCTCCTGCATTACAATGATAACAGACTTGGCCCCAAAGGTTTCTTTCTTTTTCTCAGTTTTTCTAGCGACTACTCCACACCACAGAGTAAGAACTTGCAAAAACAACACCCCTTTAATAGGGATTGATAATCAATTTGGGAGTAGCTGCGAATGCTTCCATGACAAAACCTCTCCTTATTTTTTTGCAATACCTGCTGAAAGTACTAGATAATAAGCCAGTTTTACGACCACTGAGTACAGGAAACGTCTTCAGTGCATTTGTTTAGGTTTGTCATCAAGGGCATTATTTTCATGAAGATTAGGCAATCAGCACGATATCTAGAACCATGGAGGCCATGGCAGAATTTCAAAATAGAAGATCAATAACAGTTTACAGGAAGTTTCGACGGAAACGGTTAACAAAATCAACTTAACTAATTCTATTAGCCTTCGCCTTCAATTCCGGTCAGATTTTTACGGGCACACTCAGGGTCACACAATGTTTACGAGTGCTGTAATGCAAGACCGTGAGGAAACCTCAAGGACGGACAAAACACTCAAATGCCAGCAGTTCGTGAAGGAATGCAAAGAGAATGATCAAACGTCCAGCCGCTTTGTCGTGTTATCCCAAGGAGATCAATTCTCCTTACCTATTGACACATATTTTCTTTGATGTTTTAATAGTTTTGATTATTTAATTTGGTGGTTCTTGTAGTAACGAGGACATGTTCGTACGCGCGCATTTGGCGCGAGAAATTTCGCGCAGCAAGAATGCGCGAAACAGTTCAATGGAATCACCTTAACAGGTCTAACAAGGCTGGGCCCTATTTAAAAAAGATGCTTACAAACTTTGAAAATCACTTACTCGTACCCCTTGTTCGCCAACTTCGCCAATTTTGCCTCAGACATAACTGCACGGGAGTGCTATGAACAAAATCTCTTTTTGAACACTAAAAAATGGTATGGATCGTGCAGGGTAGACAAACCCGTATGCAATACCTTGAGCGCAACAGTGTTGCAACATGTTCCTCTCTTTTACGTTATACAGAGCAGCACTTACGAAATAAATCCGATTTGAGCGCTAAATGCTTATTTGAAGATCTGGATCAACGTTTTTCTAACAATTTGGTCTTATTTGATGAGGTCCTAACCTATAAAGCAAATCTCCTAACCACTTCGGGGTGACGTACTCCCACATGAAAGGGGCGGGGCTGGTCATCGTAAGAGAGATTAAACGCCGATATCCTTATCTATCATGGCGAAAAGAATGAAAAAACACTGCCATACTGCCGCATAAAATCTGCGACATTTCATTTTTTCTTGTCATTCTCCTCTTGTCTGTGGGACTGTTTCAGAATGATCTCCCGGGGGTCAAACAAAGATAGAGTCACACCCAGATTTGTTTTCTGTATCCCCGCGGGGAATTTCCGCCTGTTGCAAAAACACGTTTCCCCTCGGTTGGTCCTATGTAGTTTCATTCGACTGTAACAAGTCCCTTGACTGCAACTTACATTCTAAGCAAACACGTACGACTATCTCCCGTTGATTTGTTTTTCTCACCTTGTTGATTAACCTTGATTCTCTGTTCAAATATCACAGTTCGCCTGCTTCAAGAGAAGATTCAGTTAACAAACCACAGTGGCTGTGGCGCAAAAATATGGCAAGGAATTTAAAAAAGTATGATATCCATTATAAATAAACTGGTGAGCTGCTGAAAAAGGTAGTCCTGTGCCTTTTCCTGGGAGTTCTTGTTCTTCTGATCATTTTGAAGGAGTTGACAACCAATGTGACCAATCTAATACGTATTTGAAAACTGACAGTAGCCCGGAAACAGCGCTAGGTGATTTGGTGAAAAATGTGACTTTTAGTCAACAACAACAACAACAACAACGTTTTATTTACTCTTGACATTTGACACACATTTGCAAAGAAAATTACAATAGCTTAGTGACAAAATATGTTTAAAGTCGAACCAAGGGGGTAAATGATCCTTGCGGTTTTCGAGTTATTTCCCTGCCTTTTACGTGCAAAATAAAGTAAAACCAAATGAAAGACTCAGATCCGAATTAAAAAGAGGTTTTGAGATCGCTGAGTCAATGAGAGCACAAAGTAAATAGTGTCTCCTTGTACCTAATGTAAATTGAATCACGTCTGACGTCTAAATGAATTTCCGCTTACTTGGGGGTTCCGCGAATGTTTGATTGGGCAACCGAGAAAAACCAAATTATGACTGAGGCATGTCCAAGCACCGGAAAAAAATAAACGTGATGTTGATTTCCCCGTCTTGAAAAACAGGATTGAGTGGTGGTGAAAGCTACTTTGTAGGTCTTTGGACTGAAGATCACTGAAATTTGCCAATCTCAACTTAAAAGTCAATAAGTTTTTATACGTCGAATTATTGCCGGGGATTTTTATGTGTTACTGTCAATAAAATCCATGGTGTTGCTGTAGTGCTGTAGGTACATGTGTACTTCATGATGGCCGATTTCCGCTCCCTCCCACGTTATGACATAATTCCTACGTCAAGAATTTCGCTCGCTAACGGCCAAATCTCAGGTGTCCCAAAATGACAAGGCAATTAACTAATGAAGTGAAACGTGATTAGGGGTCAATTAACAGAGGTATAAAAAGCTTCAAATGTTGTGACGGGGTTTTAGAGTACATGTACATATGATCAGCAGGAAATCTTTGCAGAGTCCTGAGCTTTGTGGAGAAGTTGTCACTCAGTTCACTTTATACATCTCGTTCACGTTCGAGTAAGTTCAGTTCCCTTTATTGATGCAAGACTTTTGTTTCCCATTTATTCAAACCATAGTCAATTTGTAATTGTCGTCAAGTAAGGAAAAAGATTGTTGTATCTTATTAACATTTATACATAATTGAAAAATACATCGTTCTTTAATTCTCAATATCCAAGACTTTCGGCTCATCCAAATTGTGACCTTCGTTGACTTACTTCTACAACTTAAGATTAAAATCATAATGAAGAGACAAAAAGTCGTCAGAGAATAGTGCGTTGCATGCATTTCGAAGAAACCTGAAGCAAATTGTTTCGCTATTTATAGTTGCACTGACTCGACTTGCGCTGTTAGTTTTGTTGACCTTCACTGCAAGCTACTGCAGTGCGACCACTGACATATAATCCATTCATATTTCTTTCAATTTAATTGAGAAATTTGTAACTTACGGGGCTTCGTCTTTGAATTTAACTATGTGATTTTCCTTAATTACGAAAAAAGCTATTTTTCAGAACTGTAGCTGGTAACAGGCAAACTGAAGCACTCGACTCAGTCATTTGGTTTCCTTTTTTTTGGTTGTTGTTTTTCTTTAAGGGGAAAAGAAAACCACTGCTAGCAAATAAAAAACTCAAGCAAATAAAACTGCCTTAGTCATGATATTTTCCACCATTTGTCAGTACTGACGACAGGCCACGAAAGACAGTCAAATTTAGCGGCAATAGTGCACAAGAGCTTTCTTTTAGCATTTTTTGAATTGTGTAATCAGCTCAGAAGATTACTTTAGCCGGTTTATTTATTTCCCATAATTAAAAAGTACATAATGAATAGTGCTACATATAAAATTGCTTTGGGAAGAAGACTAAAGAAACCCTTACAGGCTTTTACAGATTTCACTGAGCCGTTTCGAGTTATTTCCTCGCTTCTAAGTCTCATTTTAAGACAATTTCTCTCGAAATTGCATGTAACTGGATGAATTTTATATCAGCGAATCTCCAAGATCTCTAATTTAGAATCTCACTGCAGGACGTTTCAACAACATCAATTGTGGTCATTTCATTTTGACTTTAACTGAATTTGAAAGGACAACAGGTTTGATGTTTCCAAGTTGCTCCAGATCCCCGTTTTTAATTGGTCCGTGCCGACTAATATTGAATACGAAATATTCCACTCAGTGTGAAATACTTCAATGCTGCTGAAAATCAAGCGTAGCTGATATCTTGTTTTTTTTTTTTAAATTTTTAACTGCTTTACACGAACTCCTCACATGCATGGCTTTAATTTACTTCAAACAGTGGTAATCTTCAGTATTCCATTATTAGCTCGCCGCCAAAACCGTGTTTTAATTTTTAATTAAAGCTATTGAGTATTAACGAAATTGGATTGATAAAACTGAGTTAGAACAAAATGCAGTTGAAAAAAAAAACGTAGCTCTTGAACAACTTTAACAAAGTTTTCAGCTATGATTCATGTTCAAACCATTTATTTTACTGTGCAGTGTGGTTCTAATCCGATGTTCTTGAAGCTTCACAGTCGTTTTAATATTGTTTCGTCACAATTTGTCTTTGGCACCGCAAGTTGCAAATAGATGCCTGTTTCGCAAGCGACTATTATAGTCAGGTAACACGGAAGGGAATTCTTATCATACTAGTCGCATGACACACACAATACTGCAACAAATAACTTTGTGTATTTCTATATGTTAACTAACAATTATTATTTTTCAGTTTTTTCTTGTACTGATGCTGAAAATCGAGGATAAGATATTTTCGTGTTAAGTGCCCTGTCATCGAGCGGTTACGAAATAAGGCAGACGCCATGACGAAACCGCTGGCTTAACGTATTTTGTTTCGGATTTCTAGCTCTCAAATCCGGAAAAATTTGCATTAAAATACGGGCTTGATGGCATTTCCTTTGGCGCTCACGTTTATATAGATTATATACAATTTGTAAATAACATAACACAGTGAATGCACCACCTTACCGAAATCACATCAAAGATTTGAAAATTTAATATTTGACAACAACTAAGAACTCAGAATTTTTCATGCGACCCGCCCCAATGAGTTTCTGACTGACGTAAAACATCACAGATGGCCAATGAAACATGATATGGGATTAATATAAGAGGTATAAATACATACAGACTTTGTGGTAACTCATTTAGTATCTTACACATGCAACATCGCAGAGCAACTGGATATCACTGACAGACGTTCTTCATTTTTGCTTGGTGAAGGTTTGTCGGTTGTGAGACAAAGGGTTTGTTCAGCTCACGTGCGGAGTAAGTCACAAGATCTCAATTATATTCAGTTTAGTAGATGACAAGAAAAGAGACCACACAATATTGCTAGAGTTCTTGGGTCGCAGAAATGAAATACTTTTTAACTTAATTCTGAAAACTAAGATTTTTTGGCCTTAGTAAGAACGTTTTCCGTCTTTTCCTCGAATGTTTTACAAAAGAACCAGGAAATCAGTAGAGGTCACGTAGGAACAGCGAGTCATGGCTGAAAAGCTCTGAAACTTGTGCGAAGCTATTCAATTTGAATTAGAATTGTTGAGATATTAATGTTGTAGTGACGAGGCAAAATTTCGCGTTTACAGCGTTGTTAGAAGAAATCAGATATATCAAGCAAATTATTTCGTAAGAAAGTCGGTTGTTCAGGCCCAATTCGAAGTGTACAACCGAACCAGCTTGATACAGCATGCATCAATCATCCTACGCAACTTTGAACGTTTACCTCCAAGTCCAGATTTGTAGCAAGCTAGTTATCTTATATTTTCGCTGCTGAATGATTCCTAAGATTAAAACATCGAAGGTGAATAGCTGGGACAAATTTAAGTTCACGAATCTTCAAGATCTTTGTACTCCTCCACATGATGTTTCAACTGGTCCCCTGATAAGAATTTATTCACTCAGTAGGGGCCTCATTCAGTAGTATTAATATTTTTCTTTTTTGATTTTACCCTGCATGTGTGGTCTTAAATTGCACTACAAGGGCTCGAATGTTCTAATCTCGAAAGCACAAGGTCGATGAAAAAAAATACGAAAACTCCTTAGTCGTAATGAAAAGTGCCACAAAATATTATTTTCATCAGAACAAAGTTGCCCTTTCAAACAGGGGTCTCGACCAAAAAATTAAAGCAAACTCTCAAAAATACACAATTAATCGCTGTGTTTGTTGTGGTAGTTTCAGTCGCCACAAATGTTGTGCCTTCAGTTCTCTACCTTGGTTGAATAAACTCTTGGATTTGAACAACGAATATTCATTATTTAGTATTCCCGGAGTACTGTCTTCGACTCTTGTATTCCTAACAAGCATATTTTAATTTTTAAACCTGGATATTACTCTTTAAACTGAGAAAACCAATAATCGTTTGCAATATTCACTTGTATAGACTAAGAAATTTATTCAGATTTTTTCGTCTCCGTTGTTGCCTCTTGTCAAGCTTTGGTCTGCTATTGGTCAGTTTTGAGGGAGTGTTGGGGGTGTGTTAGGGGACGGATTCCTTTCGTCTTACCGCGGTGACAAACGCGAGGCCACGGGAGCTTAATCAGTCGCGCGTCAAAAATGTACCGCAAATACACTGGTGGCAGAAAAATTAGCATTTTACATCATTTGTTGAGGGTAAAGAGACATGGCTGTCACAAAGCAACCTATACAAACAGATCATTCAAGCGGAAAAAGCGAGCTGTCAAAATGTGAAAGTAAGGAAGTTGGAGTGGCATGATAAAGTTGCCTGACCTGTGACCTACCGTCAGGAGATTGGGAATAAGACGTCAAAATCTAAGAACTACTCTCATTGGTTAATAGGAATCTCCCTATCTCAATTGACCAATCAGAATTTGTTTACTAACGGAACTTTGACAAGTAGTTTTGCAAGTAAAATCACTGTAGCAGTTTCATCATCCAGCGCTCCCGCTCACTTCGAGTAGGAGAGAACATTCATTTTCCTTTTTCTACTTTAGAGGGTCGACAAGGGACTTTCAAGCGTAAAAAACAACAATGGCACTGCATTTGAAAGATGAATGGGAGAGTTTTGTGGTGGAACAGCTTCGAGGACCATATATAAAGGAGTTTGGCAAGCTAAAAACCGACGGCGAGCGATACAAGTTTTGCAAATACATTATACGGTAAGGTCTATTTTTTGTTTTTCGGGCTTAATTCTAGTTACATTCGGTAAGGTCTTGAAAAGTAAATTTGAGGCTATACTTTAACCTTTAATATATAACCGAACCTTGTCTTCTAAGCCTTGAATCGAGTTCATAATAAGTAAAATTTTAAGTGACCCTACAATCAGTAAGCGACTTTGCGAGATGCATTAGAATACTGAGTCACAAAGGCTTTCCCCGTGTACCAAAGAATCGTTTTTTCATTTGATATTTACATCAGTATTTTTTTATTTTCGGTTTTTTAGCGGCGTTAAGCACTCATATTTTAAAGAAATTTCCATAAAATTTGGGGAATGGTGTACCTCATTGCAACGACCACAACATTGAAAGTCTTGTTTGTTCAACTGGGTTTATTTTTCAGGCTGAAATCTTATTGATTTAAATATTCCATAAACAAATTTGCTTGAGATATTTCTTATTGCTTCTGTATGGCCCGTTTCTTGCCCTTGTCTTGCTTTCATCAAGAAACAGCAAGAAAAAATCCTTTATGTTGCTTCTCAATAAAATATGTATGAACGTTTGCCGAAGTTCGGGCTCTTCTGTTTACCAGGAGCTGTGATGGTTCGCACCTTTATTTGGATGAAAAACCATCAACATGACTAATTGTTTCGATTCAAGCGAAATTTTTCAGGTGCTGCTTTTCTATACTTAGATACCTGTCACGTCTTGATCGATTTCTGAACCGCACGTGCCACACTGCACAGAAAGCGTGTGCTTTGACAAGCCGAGAGCTTGTCCAGGGGGAATCCCGATAACCTCCGTTTGGACTTCGAGTTCCACTTGGATATCGAGTTTGAGCTTTGACTCGAAGTCCAACTCATAGACGAACTTTATTTTCCATGGAATGATTTCCAACTTGTATGTAGCTCGCAAATAGTTAGCTAGGTGGTCGATCTAGCCCGCTTGATTTTTTTGTTTTGTTTTTCATATTTTAAACTTTCAATGCAGAAAATCACTGATCAGAATTTCGAGAAGCTGATCACGAGAGGCATGGATCTACATTCATTTATTTTGCTGAGGTCGATCTTGCAATTTTCGTTACAGTTGCGACACAGCTTTCACCGACACATGAAATAGACATCGTCTTAGTTCACAGGATTTTTCGTATCAGATAAATCGACAGGATATTTTCCTTTAGATGTTTGATAAAAACATAGAAATTCAATACAACATATCTGGTGTTAAAACATGTAAAAGATTAGTTTCTTTCCATAGACCAACTAAGCACTACCACTTTTGTCAACTTGTGCAATACTGCCAATAGCTGGTATGCTGAAATTAACATGGCACCTCGTTATTTTCCGTTAAAAATATTTATGCATGCTTCTGTAAAGTTATGAACTACTGCATAATAAGAAGCCCTGTTATGTAATGAAAGGCAGAAAGGGTAGAAATTAATTTTGTGGATGCTTATCTCTCCATGGCTCTTCTTTTGAATTTCTGGGTAACACAGGGTGTTGCCTGTACCAAGCTGGCTGTCAGACTTATTTTTAAAAGGCTCACAACCGAATAGTTTGATTGCATTTGGTTTTTAAGAAATTGTCTATGCAAAATCTTCTCATTGTCCTTCTGTCCAATTTGTTTTTCCAATATTCAAATTAGCTCTTTAGGGTTGAAGCTAACCCATTGTTAGCATTAGTTTTTCAAGCTGCAACATTAAAGTTAAGCCTAAGACAAAAGAAAATTTTGATTAACTATTCACCCTGTAGCCTTGATGTATAATTTTTGTACTCTGTTCTACTTGTTTCAGAATTTTGTTGCTATAAGAACTGACTTATCATCTTGTTTACAAAATGATGCTGCGTGCTTCTTATTTCTCTTTGGACACATCACTTTCCTACTCTTGAAACATGCTTTTGTAATGTTTGTTGTATTTGTTGTGATGATTTTTTTTTTGCAAATTAACATACTCATATCATATACTGTTTCTGTTATTTTAGTAACCTTAGAGTTTCATGTACATGTACAATAAATTGCCATATTTATAATGTACACATCACATTGAGATGGCTACATTTGATTCTTGCAAATTTGTTGATAAGACAGATGTTTGTTGAATTTCAATGCCTTATGAAAACAATAAAGGGAATGGAATGAGGCTTGCACTCTTAAAAAACGAACCTTTTGGTTTTACTGGAATTTTACTGATTGTCATACTTGAAACTGTCACTCTGTAGATGTACATTTACTATACACACTTGTAAGTGCCTGTGTTTTTTTTATTTCAGTAAGTACTGTTTTAATTTCATTCTCATATATTTCCTTCATCACTTTGGCTGTGCTCAAAGTAATTGTTTCATTGAACAATGTTGTGGTGTAGTGCACGCAAACTGATTATCTGTCAGAGAGTGGACTGAAGCAGTGGACTCTGATCTATGTTTACTGCAGCCCATCTATGTTCAGCATTTGAGCCAGCTTTGTGGCCTTAGGAGACTATTTGTTTCATCTGTAGCCCTTGCAAAGGGACAAAGAGGCTATATAAAGACTAAGAGTCAAAAAAGTTAATTGAATTGCATTTGACCTATCTAAGATTGTGCCTTTGTGCTGCCCAGAAAAAGAAAGCACATAAAACAGTGCTGTGGTTGCTTTTGGCACACACAAGCATTTAATTTTGTATATAAACATTTTTTATTGCTAAACAGTGACCAAAACTTGGTGTCTAATGCACAATATTATAGAACATCAATCTAAAGGGCCTTCTATTCAGTGATATCTCTTTATTGTACAACTGATAAAACTTGTAGCATATTCACATATCTTCATAGCAGAGACACTAAACTAAACAGAGGGCCAAAACATGTGCATGCTAAGTAACGTGCAGTTAACAGAGACACAACAGGGTCAAAGTGTTAGCAGAGGTGCATGTTTAGCAACGTGCAGGTACACGTGCATATCTACGCCAGTCATGCATGCATAATGTGAAGTCTCATTTTACTTCCAAGTATGTTTTAAGTTATGTACTCTCTTTTATTCACCTTTTATGCTTGTAAACAAGTAAACAAGACATATTTTTGAAGGGAGAATTAAAGAAGGTAACTTATAATAATTATTTTATGGAAGAAAAACAGGGTTTTATAATGGTGTTGCAGAGTAACTTGGGAAAGCAGTTTGGCATTTGCTGGGTCAAGTAAAGGCATGCCAAAAATGTGTATGACATTGCATAACAATTATCTGCAACAACAGATGCTGCTCACATGCAGTTTTTTCTTTAAATTTTACTTGATGGGTAATTGGAACGTTGCTGAAAGATTATGGGCATGAGAGAATAGCTTAAGTTTTTTGTTAAATAATTTTAGTGATGATAGTAACAATTTAAGTGAAAAGATTTGAGGAATATCTATGGTTAAAACAAAACTGTCTGTTTTCTAATATGAATGAATTTGGATAAAATTCTTTGTTTGAAAAATAACGGACTCCAGCAGTAGCAGGCTGGATATATTTTAAACAAAACAAAACAGCTTTGATCTTGGGAGGCATATGGCATGGCTTTTGACTTTTAAGGGACAAATTGTCCTGCAACTTCATGTAACAATAATAATGGCACAGTAGAATCTTGCATTTTAAAACCAACTAGGGTACAAGAAAGTGGTTTATAGAAATCTGTAGGTTTGAAAAATCCAGGTAAATGTCTTCTACATTTGTAACTTTTTTGCCAACTGAGAAGAAAAGTGCTTTGAATAATGGGGAGAATTGAAAAATCGAGGGTTCAAGAAATCAGAATTAAACTTTATAGTTTCCACTATGCTTAGTTCCTTGCCCCATAGCTTCCACTATACATAGCTATAAACTGTCTGGACCAAAGCAACAAGTATTTGCTGGGGAGTGGTGTCTGTACTCCCACTGTGGTGGCTATTAGCAATCATTATAATCTATTTTTTTGTCTTCCCACTTTGCAGAAATAGTGGTGTAGCTCAAGAAATAGTTGAGCAGATACAAAAGCTTCTGAACACCAGGGTTCAACAAAAACTAAGGTCTGCGGGAAATGGCCAGGAATATGTGTGTGTGGGAGAAGAACATTTCAGGCGAAGGGATTTCAAGAAAGCTGTGATCTCCTTCTCACTGGTAATGGATAATACTTAAATTGAACAATTTGAAATATGAGTAAATTCTGAAACGTAGTGGTAATGAGAGAGTTGAAAAAGTACCCGAGTATTTTCAAGTAATATTGGTAAGCTTTTAAGATCTTTTAGTGTTGCAATTATTCTTTGGCTGTTTTCTTAAATATCAGTTGACATCAGACCTTTGTCAATTATTGAATTTGTTTAGGCCATTCAGCAAGCACTCTTGTACAATGCTGAAAACCAGAAGCCTCTTGCCAACCAGCAAAGTAACATGTGTGATCTGGCTTTGTCAGACAGTGCTGACAACACCAGTAGGTCTCCTGGCCAGCTCAGCCTTGTGGCTTTGTATACCAGAAGAGCAGAGATCCTCTTTCAGGCACAGGAATACAAGGTATGGATGAGATCACTGTCAGTTATAGTGATAAATAATAATGAGTGCTGTAAAAGCCCATGTATAAGCCCATGTGTAAGCCACACCCATAGAGGAGCCGCACCCTCAATTTGCAAGCTCAAATTTTGAAGAAAACAAAGACCACCAAGTTTGAGGTACAGTATCTAAACAGAAAAACCAATAGAGATTCCTTCCTAACCACTAATTGAATCCAGTGATCTTAGAGATCTTTATATATTTCTGATGATGAGAACTTTCATTAAAGTGCACCTAACCCCAAAAATTTTTTTTCGCTAGAACGAATCTACTTATTATTTGAAATAGTTCTGCGAAAAAATTTTTGAATTCCGTTAA